AGGACGACGTTGCTGTAGAAAAAAGGAGACGCCATTCCAACGGCTCAGCAGGCGGGACCAGAACGCCAGGTCGGAGCGGCACCCCGCGGCCAGGCAGACCGCGTCGTTGAGGGAGGAGACGGAGCCGGCGAGGGAGAGGAGTCTGGAGATGAAGGAGCGACCTTGAGGAATTATGCGGATGGCGTAATCAAGACGCCCGAGAAGGGAGAGCAACTGACGCTTCGAAAGTGACAGGGATGACGGGGCAGACCGGGAGATAGCGCGGATGCGCTCGAGTTTGCCCAGCGGGAGGGAGGCCTCCGTGGCGCGCGTGTCGAGGCGGATGCCGAGAAACTCTAGAGCTGTGGCGGGCCTGTGGTCTTCTCCTCGGAGAGGGGGACTCCCAGGGCGTAGAAAGCGAGCTTGAGGTTGCGGAGAGAGCTCCCGGAGCCGTCCGAGGGTGGGTCTACCACGAGAAAGTCGTCGAGGAGATGCGGGACGGAGGGGAGCCGTACATAATTTAGCAGGATCCAGCACGGCGCCTCCGCAAGAGAGGGGCGCTGGAGGGAAGGGGCTGTTGATGCTCGGGCGGGCCCGGAGCGGGGACAGGAGAGGACGAATATGAGACGCTTCTTCCTGGAGTGCTTGCGGGTGGCGATGCCCGTCGGGTTAGAGCGAGACGGAGAGAAGGGGCCAATGACGTAGCACACGGACACCTCCCGCGCCCGAGCCGCGTGCCGACTTGGGGCTCACGGAGAGCCGGGAAGAGGTTGCGGGACACGAGACGCCGAGGGACCTAAACAGAGCTTGCAGTCCAATGTGAGGAATTTAATAGAGTTTGCAGTCCAGAGTGAGGTATTAAAACCGGGCCCGTAGTCCAAGTGAGGCGTTTAACTGAGAGCCTGCAGTCCGGTGTGAGGGAGTTAAATGACCTGTAGTCCAAGGTGAAGGATTAAACTGAGAGCTTGTAGTCCAGAGAGAGGGATTCAACGTTGCCCGCAGTCCTAAAGAGGGATTTATAACAGAGAGCTTGTAGTCCAATGAGGGATTAAGCCGAGAGCTGCAGTCCGGTGTGAGGGATTTAACAGTTTTACGGTCCAAGTGAGGGATTAACTGAGCCCGCAGTCCAAGTGAGGAGTTTAAACTGAGAGATTACAGTCCAGTGAGAGGGATCCAACAGGCCTGCAGTTTTATTTATTTATTTATTTATTTATATTTATTTATATTTATTTATGTTTATTTATATTTATTTATAGTTATTTATAATTATTTATAGTTATTTATAATTTTATATTTTTTTTTTTTTTTTTTTTTTTAAATATAGCGTTCCAGATATAGGCAGTACCATGTATGCAGTTCCATGTATAGCCGTACCATATGAGCAGTTCCAATATAGCGGTTCCATATATAGGCAGTTCCATATATAGGCAGTTCCAGATACGGTACAACAGTTCCAGGTATAAGTAGTTCCAGATATAATTTAAACAGCGCTTGCAGTCCAAAGAGAGGGATTTAAACAGAGCCTGCAGGCCAAAGTGAGGGATTAAAACAGAGCATGCGGTCCAATATGAGGGATTTAAACAGCGCTTGCAGTCCAGAGAGGGATTTAAACAGAGCCCGCAGGCCAAAGTGAGGGATAAAACCGAGAGCATGCGGTCCAATGAGAGCGATTAAAACTGAGGTCTTGCATTCCAATGTGAGGGATTAAACGGAGCTTGCAGTCAGAGTGAAGATTTAACGGAGCTTGGTTAAAGAGGGCCTGCAGACTAATGCGAGGGCTTTAAACTGAAGCCTGCCCACCAGCACTGGGCCAACTGAGCCTGCAGTACAAAGCGAGGGGAAAAACCGTCCGCGGATCTCATACTTTACCCACAGCGCCAGAAGACAAGGGACAACACGACGGGACCACGCCGTACCGGCACAAGGAGACAGGGATGCGCACGGCTCCCACCGCAACGGGCTAGACCGGCCGTATGCAGCAGCAGGCTGCGACGAGACGAGCAGCGGCAAACCCGCGGAAAGAGCCCGCAAAGGAGGAGAGCGGCAAGACCCACGGACCACGCACGAGACCCGCAGCAGGTGCAGCCACAGGAGGAGCAGACCACACGCAGCAAGACAGAGGACAGCAGGGACACGCACGAGTAAGCGTGAGTAGACAAAGCGATTCCTCCAGAACGATTCTTTGCGAGGCTGCAGGAGCATGCGAGGCTTCGGGAGGCCGTAAAATGGGAGTTGCTCCGCTTTTAAGCGGCTGGTCTATCCGGCACGGTGTGATTGGAAGGGGGCGTTTGCTGCGCCATAGGCTGAGGATGTGAGTCGGCCCGGAGGGGGTAGCTTGGGCTGACGTCTTCTAAATTGAATTTTCGCGAGCTACATTTGTATTTACTCTTTTATGTGCCGAGCCTTGAGTCTGTCAAATCAGATCATCCAAGCTCTGGTCTGTCCAAGGAGGAGCTCTGTCAGGTTCTCCTCTGACTTATGGAGGCATTGGAGGTCCTGCCTGTACACCTGTTTTTAGTTTTTATTGTATACGTATGTTTTTTTTTTAATCTATGAACCAGTTTTTCTCTGTGTTCTTAATAAAGAATGAATTGAATTGAATTGTATGAAGTAATGCAACTGTACGTAATGAAACTTTGTGACCGTGTCCATCTGACATGAGTAGATATCAATCAAAACATATTAGATTTTCTTGTATTATGTATATCTTAATATTAATACCGGAAATTTATTTAAAAAACACACAACAAAAGACACTGATTTAGCACCGCACACTTCTCAGCTCAACACAATACTCTCTGTTTCTACATAATTATCCAAACATTGATTTGATTATATGGTAATGGCAGAGCTAAAACATAGATGAATTTAACTTCTTTCTTCCTCTGTCTGATTCCACCGAGCCCCTGCTAACATTTTCAGTTCCATATTCAATATTTCATGCCACTTCTGATCTCCTCTTTCTCATACATCTTTCTTTTTGCTTTGCTGCCTGTCCTTCTGAGTGTTGCAACGTTTAATTTCCCTCCGGTCCCCCTTTTCCTCTGTTGCTTTTTGGAACTCACTGTCAACTTTTTTCTTCTGTGTTTGTCTGTAAAAGAGGCACTTTTTTCCACTAACTTTCAGGCTTTTTTAATGTATCTTTGATAAATGTATGTCTCATTTGTCCGTAAAGTACAGGCAATCTCTGAAAGTGCTGCTTTAACCACTGTTTAACCGTAGTTTTGGATGTAAATCGAGTTGATAAGCACTAAATGTAATGTTGTACCTATAGTTCATTTTGAAGATGTCCCCCAGTCAGAGGGACTTATGAAGCACAAAGAAACTATAAAGTATAGAAACCTGGAACTGTAAAACCAGATCAAAAACAGGTATAACAAAAAGTCATTTCTCACTGGATATGGATTTCATCTTGTGGATAAGCGTGTTAGCATCAGCTGTTTCCTTTTTGTTAACGCACAGACACGGCCCTTTTTCAGTTCAAAGAAAGCTTTAAACATACATTTCATATATTTACTATTTTATATTGTGCTATATTATTTTGTTCAGCAATCTGAGTGGCCTTGTGTATGAATTGTGCTTTTTAAATGAACTTGCCTTGCCATTTTGTATTTTATAACATAAAATCTACATGTTTTTTGAGAGTACATGATTAATATATTATGTAATGTTTTCAAGCCACAGTGTTTAGAACAATTATTACTACCCTGCTGATTTATAATTGAGTTACAGAGTAAGACTACGAGATATCGCACTGTTATTATCATAAGTAGTAACACACCCAGAGCCTCAAGAACTGCTGAGCTACCAGAGAACATCCAAAGGACATATGCAAAGAGATATCAGTCACGTTCTTTGGATGACGAACGAAACGTCGGGAAAACCTGCTGACTGAAGTACAGAAGATGGGTGAGCAACCTTCCTTGGGTTTGTCTAATCCCTGTATGACTTAGAGCTTTCACAACCTCCTGGTCACTGGTTAAATAAAACACAATTAGCTCCTTTATGTATAAGTCTTTACTATTAGCCCTAATCCATACTATGAATCTCCAAATCTGTTGTTAGCCGGACTTACTTTTTTGTCCTCCTCCAAAGCCTGCAGTTGTGAATTGAAGTGTTGAAGTATCGAAGTATTGAATGAAAAGCCAAGCCAGGCAGTCTCAACACACTCTCCCGCTGCTGCGCTAACCACTCTGCCACTTTGCAGGCGATTTATCCGAAACAAAGACACTATTTTTCCATCCCCGGTGTCAGTTGTATAGTGTTTGATTGATGAAGTCGTTGGCTGCAGGATACACTTCTGTTCCACTCTCTGATCTAAATTACAGCTTTACGCCGCGCCTCGTATATATATTTCCTGTGCTCATTGGCCCTCTCATTAAACATAAAGTTTCTCTCATCACTCAGAACAAACTATATGAGCTGTTATGAATCACCATCTGCTGTCTCCTAATCACCTGGCTCACTCGTGTTAAGGTGACTGATATCGCTGCTGCGCCGTCGGGAGAAATACGGAACAATTTATACCTTGTTTTGTTGTAGGTTTACGCCCGATTTGCATTGTTCCGCCAGTCACTTGTGCTCGTCGCTTGTATATATTTGAAGAAAATGACAACAGATGTGGAGGTCTGGGCTCTTGTCTCGGCATATAGATATGTATCCCTGTGTTTTATAACAACAATAAAAATGCTTCAAACTTGTATAGCGCTTTGTTGGAGCCTCAAAGACACGTCACATGGGTATAAGATTAAAAAAAAGGTTTAGGTTTAGGGAAAAGCTTGTTTGAACAGATGGGTTTTGAGTATGGATTTAAAGTTTGGTTGTTTCTGATGGGCAGTGAGAGTGAGTTATAGAAGGTTGGGGCGGCAATGGCAAAGGCTGTGTCCCCCAAGGCCGGCCGGTTAGTGCGGGTGATGGGAGTGAGGAGGTTAGTGCGGGTGATGGGAGTGAGGAGGTTAGTGCGGGTGATGAGAGTGAGGAGGTTAGTGCGGGTGATGAGAGTGAGGAGGTTAGTGCGGGTGATGGGAGTGAGGAGGTTAGTGCGGGTGATGAGAGTGAGGAGGTTAGTGCGGGTGATGGGAGTGAGGAGGTTAGTGCGGGTGATGAGAGTGAGGAGGTTAGTGCGGGTGATGGGAGTGAGGAGGTTAGTGCGGGTGATGGGAGTGAGGAGGTTAGTGCGGGTGATGGGAGTGAGGAGGTTAGTGCGGGTGATGAGAGTGAGGAGGTTAGTGCGGGTGATGGGAGTGAGGAGGTTAGTGCGGGTGATGGGAGTGAGGAGGTTAGTGCGGGTGATCGGAGTGAGGTGGTTAGTGCGGGTGATCGGAGTGAGGTGGTTAGTGCGGGTGATCGGAGTGAGGTGGTTAGTGCGGGTGATCAGAGTGAGGTGGTTAGTGCGGGTGATGGGAGTGAGGCGGTTAGTGCGGGTGATCGGAGTGAGGAGGTTAGTGCGGGTGATGGGAGTGAGGAGGTTAGTGCGGGTGATCGGAGTGAGGAGGTTAGTGCGGGTGATGAGAGTGAGGCGGTTAGTGCGGGTGATGGGAGTGAGGCGGTTAGTGCGGGTGATGAGAGTGAGGCGGTTAGTGCGGGTGATGGGAGTGAGGTGGTTAGTGCGGGTGATGGGAGTGAGGTGGTTAGTGCGGGTGATGGGAGTGAGGAGGTTAGTGCGGGTGATGAGAGTGAGGCGGTTAGTGCGGGTGATGGGAGTGAGGAGGTTAGTGCGGGTGATGGGAGTGAGGAGGTTAGTGCGGGTGATGGGAGTGAGGCGGTTAGTGCGGGTGATCGGAGTGAGGAGGTTAGTGCGGGTGATGGGAGTGAGGAGGTTAGTGCGGGTGATGGGAGTGAGGAGGTTAGTGCGGGTGCGGGAGTGAGGAGGTTAGTGCGGGTGATGGGAGTGAGGAGGTTAGTGCGGGTGCGGGAGTGAGGCGGGTGGAGTGAGGCGGGTGGAGTGAGGCAGCTGGAGTGAGGCGGTTGGAGGCGGCTGAGCAAAGGCAGTAAGGTAAGGGGCGGGGCCAGGTTTTGGATGGACTTGTAGGTGAGAAGAAGGAGCTTGTATTGAATAGAGAGCCAGTGGAGTAGCTGGAGGACAGGGGTGATGTGCTCTCTGGACCCGGTGTGGGTGAGGAGGAGGGCAGCAGAGTTCTGGATGTAAACGTTTGCTTTGACCTTCAGATCAAAACATTCAGATCAAGTAGGAAAATGAGTGACTTCTGTAAACTGTTGTATGACCAGCTCAGTTTTAACATAATTGCCCAAACAGTCTTATGATTATGATTATTACTATTCTAAGCTTTTTAGAATGATCAATTTTATTTTTATTTGTTGCTACTACTGGATAGTATCTATCTATCTATCTACAAGAATCTGGAAATTTGCTACAAAAAACGACAAAAGCCTTTCTTGTGTCTTATTTCAGCTGGATCAAGAAGTAGTAGTAAGTGAGCAATCTTTAATTATATAGTACATTTTACAGACCAAGGTAAACCAAAGCGCTTTACAATTGTTGAGACTTACAGTACTTACTGATTATTTACTTACTAGATCAAAACCAATATTTACATTAAAAGCAGGATTGCACAGTTCATTGTGATGGCCCCAGATACAAGCAATGAAGATCTTATTTCTAAAATGAGAAAAATAATACTCTATAAATCAGAAAGAATAAAAAAAAATGCATTCTACATACACAATATACAATATATAAATATATACAGTATAATTGTGTGTTTCTCTGTGTCTTGTGGTGTCCTTGTATTGTCTTTTGTATGGAATAAAGATAAATAGGTCTTGATAAAACTGACTGTTTTGAAAAGATTTTTTGATTTGATTGTGAGTAAATTGATCTGCAAGTTTTTTTATGCATAGCCACAGGTACGAAGAGGAGATGCTCTTATTCGAACGGACAAATGCATTTAGTGACATTTTGATCTGCAGAATACACTGTGACTTTAAACCAATTTGTAATTTCATGACACACAAAATGAAAGCATTTACAAGGCCCACCACCCCAATGTGAGGTTGTAATGTGCTAAATGTAAAGGGTGTGCCCTGTGTGGGAGGCAGACCTGCTGCAGCTGTCTGGTGCAGCCACAGTAATTACAACATGGATGTAATTAGTAGAGCATGCATGTGTCACAACACGAGAGTGCTCCCTGGAGGCAGAATGAAGACAGACATGATGTGCATCAGGAGACATGCCAACCGCTTGACAAGGAAGATAATTAAAATAAGAATCATGTCGCAGAAAGTAGACAGGGTAATCAATGCACGTCAAGTATGGTGGTTCAAGACATAATTTATCATCAAATCCTAAAAGCTGGAGTATCTTTCAAAACACAAAATTAAGATGTTACAAATTCATCTCTTACTTCTAAAAGGTGATTCTATTTTAGTTCTTTTTAGATAGTGCGGTTAAGTAAGTAAGTAAAGTTTATATTATTACAGCACCTTTCACAAAGCGCTCTCTTTCGACCAGCGTTGGTCTTAGTCCTCTTCCATAATGTGGTTCTCTCTGATGTGTTTTGTTGCTTGTGCATGCCTTTGCCGTCTTCTTCTCACCTTCAGTTTTGAAAAAGCACCACCTGTTCGTGTACTTAAAGCCTTCCTTGTTTCATCGCCATAAATTGTGTGAAACAGCTGAACAGACACGTCACAGGAACATCACGCCAGCCGTAGAAACTGTCAAGAACTTTAAAAAAAGGATCAAGTATCTATCAGAAACCCAAATATCTTCATGTTCTAGCTTTCTCTAAAATGTAATCATAAATAAAACATGTAATTATGTAATATATTAGTCTAATTTTATCTCTAGTTTTCGTGTGCATTTGAATCAATCAAATCTTTAATTGTAGAGCACATTTAAAACAGCCATGGCTCACCAAGGTGCTGTGCAGACAGTAAAAACAGTACAATAAAAACATACAAATACAGAAATATATATACACAAAACCCTTACCCAGCTCTGCTAGGATAAGGGTAAGGGACAACAAAAAACCATGTTAAGTGGAAAAGCAAGTATTTAATACAGGAATGTAAATGATATGGACATAAATCAACAGGACACAACACAGGACATAACGGGATAACTCAACGCTACCAAAACAAAACCTACACTAAACACTTTACACTACTATACACATACCCACGCACAAAAGGTATGAATGTAAATGAGAGAGTGAATGGATGGTGTTGGAGCTGATGGTCCAGTGTGTTCTGGACTCGCTTCTGTCATCACCGTGTGTGGAATGATTGGAACAATATCTGACTCTGAACATTGTAAAGCGTTTTGAGTGACCTTGGTCTATAAAATGCGCTATATAAATAAACATTACTTACTTACTTAGAACTAAACACTTAAACCTACTGCAGTCTCAACAGAAGCGACGTGTCAACAAAATGTCACAAGTAAGTAAGTTTTTTTTTTAGTAAGTTTTTATTTATATACCGCCTTTTCACTGCAGATCTGAGTCTCAAAGCGGTTTACAATTGTTAATGTTGGGCATTTGTCTCTCACTCCACACAGAGATGGGAGCGGGGTCGCCAGTACAGGAGGCACATGCCAGAACTATTGGACATATTTTTAGTGGTAGGGGAAACCGGAGTACCCGGAGGAAACCTACGCAGACACGGGGAGAACATGCAAACTCCACTCAGAAAGGCCCTGGTCCGGCCGGGATTCGAACCCAGGACCTTCTTGCTGAGAGGCGAGAGTGCTATCCACTCAGCCACCGTGAGAGAGTGAGAGAGTGACTCCAGATCGGGAAGCTGGATTGGCCAGGTACACCACTGCTCCTCCAATCAGCAGCTGAGTCACAGACGTCTGGGAGGCGGGATGGCCAGTGGTTGTCCAGCCACCGGCCGGGGACCTCAAACAGAAGGAGTTGCCACATACACACACAAAAAAACACAAAATCCAAAACAGGAGCAATTTACAGAGAAAAGGTGTGTCTTAGGGATTTTAAGTGCTCGAGTGATTGTGCAGTTCTAATGTGCAAAGGTAAAGAGTTCCCCAGCTGTGGCCCTATCACAGAAAAAGCTTCATATAAATTAAAAACATTAACAAGGATTTTAAAATGAACTTTTAAATACACCACATTTATCTTAGGATCAGCTTTTTCCGACAAAAAAAGTAACAGAGAGAAGAACCCCCTCACTCAGCCAATCCGCTCTTTAGTAAGTAAGTACTTTATTTATATGGCGCATTTTTACTGATAGTGGTCACTCAAAGCGCTTTACAATGTTCAGAGTTCAGATGTTGTTCCATTCTCTCCACACGGTGATGACGGAAGCGAGACAGAGAACACCGCTCACTCACTCTTCACATTCAGACCTATGGTGCATGCCCATGGTAGTGTCGAGAAATAACTGTAAGGCACCAGCAATCGCACCTGCATCCTGGTTTAGAAGTCAAAGATTTTTAAAGATAAAGATGCACTTTATTCATCCTCTTGATTTGACCCATCCTGATGCCGCAAAGGCTTACGTCAGGAGCAGTGGTCGCCATAGTAACAGCGCTCGGGAATCCATGTCCAGATGTTGATGCTCAGCTTGGTCACCGGAGCTGGAGGATTTAACCTAGTGAGCATGTTTTTAGTGGTAGGGGAAACCGGAGTACCCGGAGGAAACCTACGCTGGCACGGGGATGACATGCAAACGGCACTCAGAAAGACCCTGTTCTGACCGGGATTCAAACCCAGGACCTTCTTGCAAGTACTATCCACCGTGCTGCCCCAATAATGATTTGTTTTTATGTGCATAAGAACAGAGACGTCATCACTCCAGATATTATTGCTGCATGGTTAAGATATAGATTGGTTATTAGCAATGCGGCTCAGACCAAATACGTCCAGTTCTTCAGATAATAATGTTTAGCAGTAATACAGATAAAACAGGGGCCCACAGTACAACATACACAGATTACACAGAAGACAAAACAAAAATTATACCATACATAAAGATCATAGATTATAGATTACTGATTGATTTATATATTTAATCAGAGGCAATGCACAATTCATTTCTGCAAAAGGGACAAAGCTGGTTTCTCAACTCTAGTCCCTGGCCATTAAAGATACATATAGTTAATGAAATATCTGTTTAGTTCTTATATGAATGAACATGGGAAGGTCTGTCGCACTTTGGGTTGACCTATTTTGCAGTGTGAAAACCTACAATTGAGGTGTTGCTGTCAGACTGTACAATAAGTCTCTAATGCACTAGGAATGTAAAAACCCTCCACTGCCACGGCACTCTTTCTTTTATTGCCACTTTGTTTTAATAGTACATAATTATATCTTGCACGGACTATATTTTTAACCCTAACATGTTGCATACTTCTGTCCTTTGCACAATCTGAGAGATTCTGTGCCAAATGTGACATGTACATTTCTTCAGTGTGAGATCAATGAAGTCTATCCTATCCTATCTTATCTTGCAACTGAGCTAATCATTATCCACATTGTCCACAATTAGGGTGATGTGCAAAACTACAATGTCCACCAAGAAGTTGATGTTTTATTTGGGGGTTTTCCATGTGGAGGGATCTGTTTTGGAAATAAAAGCCTGACTACCAAGCAGATCTGTCTACATCTGCAGCCATCATCTCCTCTGAACTTTTGCCAGTAAAAAACTAACTTTGTGTGCTTGTGCCCTGGTTAAACAGTTGTAGAATCAGCAGAGGCCAGATTCCACACTGGCTCTACACATTAAACTAAAACAAATAACAAATAACTGATAACAGGACTTTTAGAAAAAAACATCATCCATCAAGAAATACAAACACAATCTCTTTTCCAACCATATCATTCAACGGCTGTGAATGTATCTGCTGATTTTCCACCACACAGACCCAGCTTGATTTTAATGTGTGAGC